ATTTTGCATTCACATTCTCAATTAATGTGACCAGCACTGCCTGAGTTGCCTGTTTTTCTTTCAAGCTACGTCTTTACCCAGCAAAGCTCAAGAAATATTATAGAGCAAAAAGGAGACTGTGACTAGACAGCCTGTTCTGCCTTAACTCCCATGGCCTGGGAGAAAGTTTTGAAAATTGGCTCAATCCACGGAGCATGATATAAACGGAGGGAGCAGTACCTTCCTCTCTGCAGCACAGTGAGTTGTATATATCTGTGTGCTGGGACAGCTGGGTACAGAGCAGACGTATCAGAGGCATGTCTGTGGACTGGATCACAGAGCACCCCCAGCCTCAACCACAGCTCACAACAGCAGGGGATGTATACCTTATTTGAACCTCAAGTTGATGAAGAGGGCATTGCCCCTCAGTTTCATTGAATTGATTTTCTTCAAGACTAGGTATTCTTCAAGATTAGTCTTTAGTAAGATAGGTAAATATTTTCTGGTGACTTTAAGTAACACCCAAGCACTTCAATTTCTTTGTCTAATTTWATTTCGTATCTTTCTCCAGTTCCACGTTTTTTGAGCAAAATCAAGGCATGGATTTCCTGAGACCACTGGGTAAAATATTGATGCCATCCCTTTTCCCTCTTCATGATGATGTGCTTCCTAGTGTAAGGAGATTGCTGAGAGGGAACTGGCAAGAAATGCAGTGAAAATATGGGGAAGAAAGGTGAAAATTGAGTGCAAGAAGAACAAGCAGAAAACCAAGGCAGGTTTCCTCTCTCACCTGCCAGGAGAGCTTTCTCTGTGCCTGGAGCAACGTGCTGAGGGCAAGGTCACATGTAAACCCAACTGCAGTTTATGTGTTATTCCTAGTGGTTCTTAGTAACAGCATGTGTTTCTCTGACCCTGAACAAAATTCTTTAAAGCAAAATTCAGAAAATGTTAAAGAAACATTTTTTTTTATTTTTTTCATTCTACAACCTATAGAAGCATATTATCTGTGATCTTGTCATTAGTCAGCATTCAGTTGCTGATAACAGAAACTACTCTATTTAGCACAATATGTTTGGAGGATAATTTCTGGCCATTCATAGAAGACTCATTCTGCTTATATGATTAGAAAAACTAAAGAAATGTGTAGTTTAGTCTGACTTCCAGCAATGACTCCCTAAACATCATCACAGAACAGGCTGTCCAAAGAGCTGCTATCTCTGCTGACAGCCTAGAAGCTGAGAAGTCATGAAGATGCTGCCCCATCTCTGGTTCCAGAGCCACATTACCTTAGCCACAATCCCCACCAGCAAAATGGACATCCTACATACTGCCATACCACACCCTGGAACCTTTGCTATTGCTACTCCAGACAAATAAAATGTTCCATGGCAGTTTGCTGGCAGAACCAACAGAAGCATGATTTCCATTTCATTTAACCCTCCTAATTTCAGGTGGGCCCATCTGCATGAAGAAAGCTAGGCCACAACTGGAATTCAAGCTGGGAGTCTCAAAAATGTAGACTTCAGCTTTATCAGGGATTATGGGTGACCAGAACATGCCCATGTACACACAAGGGTCCCAAGTATGTCAAGAGATATCTATCTAACTCCTCAGTCTTCTGGGTAGCCGCAAAGAGCTAGGTGACCAAAGCGCTGTTGGTCAGTGATCTCCTAGGGCTTCCAAAAGGTAGCCCAAATATGAAGGGATCTGACAGTCCCACTCTCAGTTCCTGTGGTTAACAACTATGAGGGGCATATGGCCTTTGCTGCTCTGCTGTGATATTATGTGAAGCCAACAGTATGTCCCATCACAGGGACAACTATGTGAGTAGTCTGCTGCTGAGCGAACCATTGACCATTGTACACAAGGGGAAATGTCAGTAAAGTGAAGTCAGGTGGGGTTTGAAGAATGCCAGCTCCTCATAGGTACAGCTCCAAAAGATGCCCCAGATCTGTCTTATGGACAGAATTCTATGTACTTAAGAGATATTCAAGGGTGACTACTCTAACTCTCTCTCTCTCTCTSTSTGTGTGTGTGTGTGTGTGTGTGTGTATGTATATATCTCCACTCCATAATTAGAATATCATCATTCTTTAGAAATACTTCAATTGCATTTGAGATCCATTTGTATTATCACACACAAAAAAAAGATACCAATACCACACATTCTGTCAATGACAGAATAGGAAGATTTGTTAGGTTATAAACATAATTTTCAATTTTTGTATGGTTTTAAAAATAAATTGTTTCATTAGCTACTTTTGTAGATAGTTTGTCAATGCTAAATATCAAGAATTTTGAAGAACTTATTAAAGTGTCTTGATCAAGAATTGCATGTACAGGACTGGGCCTGTGGCTCAGTGGTAGAGCACTTGCCTAGCATATATGAGGCTCTGGGTTTGATCCTAAGCTCCACATATGAATAAACAAATAAAGTGAAAAATCTATTGGCAAAAAATATTTAAAAAAAAATTGCATGTTCAACAGCCAGGTATGCTAGTGCATGCCTGTAATCAGAGCTACACAAGAGACTGAGACAGAGGATCTCAAGTTCAAGGCCAGCCTGGGCAACTGAGCCAGAACCTATCTCCAAATAAAGGGTTGGGGATGTCGCTCAGTGGTAGAGCATTTGTCTATCAAGTGCAAGACCCTGGGTTTAAAACCCCAGCAACACCTATTTAAAAAAAAAAAAAAAAGAATTACATGTAATCATTTCAATCACACAATGAAACATCTAATATCTTCTCTAATGCTTCGGATTTTACTGATTTCATTTCTTATATAAGGAAAATATTTTTTGCTACCAASTTCCAAATAGAACCCCAAATGCTCTACAGCTAGTACTATGGAAATACTATCTTTTTCCATGTGTGCCACAGACTTGTGGTTTCCAGGGGACCTTTTAAAGATGAGGGATATGTTAATTATCTTRATTGTGGTGATGGTTTCCTAGGCATGTGTATGTATATCAAAATTTATCAAATTGTGTACCTTAAATATATGTTTATTGCATGTCAATTATACTTCAATAAAGCCATTTTTAAAAACATGGAAGGAAAAAAAAACATAAAGTACATTCCAGAAAGGTTGTTTACATTCCACTAGTAGCATATGCAAGTGCTTACATCATTACACTTTCATTAGCACTGCAATTCTTAAAAAGAAAACCAAAATACTAATTTGAAAGGCAAAAATATCTCAGATGTTTGTATGTGCACATATTTACTAGTAGACTGCAACTGTTTCTTGTTGAACAGCTCTCTGCCCATTGTTCTTTCATTGCCACAAAAGGAATAATGCTAACATTAGTGATGTAGTCAAAGGGAAATGTCTTCTCATCTGCTATGTCAATCAGTTCAAACTCAAAGAAAATTACTACTCCAAATGGCAGTTTAAGTATTCATAAATTTGTCCAATTCTCTGAATATGAGTCATAATTAACCTCTAGAAGAAACTGATACACACTTAACATTTAAAGAATGAACCCTAGTTTCTCTAATAACAGAATATTCTCACCTCATTCTGAAACTTATAAAGGTTAAATCACTTGGCTAAAACTAGACGATGTCCAATTTGGAACCAGAATCCAGACCACCTGGGATGAATAGCCCTGAAATAGGAAGATGCAGAAATCAATGGCATAGCTGAAACTTCTGAAAAATAAAATTCTTTGAGCCTTAACTTCTTCATCTATAAAATGAAAGAGGTCACTAAATGACCACTGAGCTTCTTTTTAGGTCTAACCTTTCCTAAATGCAGGCTGCATTAAGTTGATAAAACCCAACAGCTATTGTCTTATTGCTGCAGTTTTGTTTTATTGCCAGCCTGGGGAATCCTCAACTACTTTTCCTGTAAGCCCATGTCAGCTCACATTCAAACCTTAGCCCTGACCAACTATCTGCGTAGCCTTGGTAAATAACTTATCCTCATTCTAGAGATGAAGAAATGAAAGCCCAGAGAGAATCCTGAGAGCCGATATACCTCAAAAGGCTAAGACAACAGAGAAACTACACATGAATACTGAGCAGTGCCCAGTACCTAGTAAGATGTCTAGGAACTACAAGTCTTCTGTACTTGTTGGTAGAATAATACCAGTTTACATGAAACCCATACTGCAAGCTCCACAAGTGACCCGGCCTATTCACCACCATATCCCCAAAAAACTCAAATACTGGGTAGACAAGTACAGAAAAAAATATTTAAACTGCAACAAATATTTGAACAAGACTAAATAGACACAATTGAAAAAATAGTACTCAGGTCTGATTCACAACACACTTCAGCTATATATTTAATTTAAAAGATCTCATAAAATGATGGGAGAGGTAAAGAGGAAGAAAATAAGAGAAAGGAATAACATAAATAATGGCAAGGTATTACCAACTATGCCATCTATGTACTATCTCATCTGTGTTTCTCCACCTCAGCACTGGTTGCAAAGGCAAATGCCATCCTTATCATTTTTAACATGCTGCCCCACTAGTTAACATCCTCTACAACTTGAGTACCAAGACCAATTGCTGTCTGGCCAACACTTGAAGTGATTTGGAGGTATAACTCCATGTCATAGAACAGTGATAGTAGAAGTACGTATTCACAGATTTCAAACACAAAGACACACCAACTTGCCTATGACCCATCAAGACCAACTAAGAAACAAATTTTTTCAAATATTAAAGCTGGGGAGAAAAAAATGAAACCTACAGCTCTTGAATTTGTCAAATATCTGTATAGTAGAGGGAACGAACAGGTGTTGGGAAAATGATCCTTCTGGAATTTTTTCAATATATTCTAAGGTACCAGTAATCGACACTTCTGTCATTCTTAAAATTAACTTGAAGAAATGAAGCAACTTTTTCTGTCAGATAAATTTCATTGATAACTGAATTTCAGTCTTTTTTTTTTTTTTAAAGAGAGAGAGAGAGAGAGAATTTTTAATATTTATTTTCCAGATATCGGCAGACACAACATCTTTGTATGTGGTGCTGAGGATCGAACCCCGGCCGCACACATGCCAGGCGAGCACACTACCACTTGAGCCACATCCCCAGCCCCGAATTTCAGTCTTTATTAAAGTTATTTTTATAAATGCATATGTCCTAATATGAAAAGGTTGACTTTTACTTTAACATGTGCTTTGCAAATTTGCATCAGCAGAAGGAAGGGCTTCAACTGAATAAATTTTAGTCTTCAAAAATGTGACCGCATCTTCCATCTTTAGTTTTTCCAACTCCCACTTGTTGACCTTAACAGAGAATGAAGAAAATAGTCAGTTTATGAAAAGATAACACACATACACAGAGGAAAAAAACTAATGTAGGGATCAAACATATTAAAGTCAACTGCTTTTTAAAAGCAGTTACCTTACAATTACTCATATTTTAAAGGCCAAATGAGATGATAAGCTCAGAATGAGTAAAGATATAACAGTAAAAATTATAAAAATTTTAAAGGTCCTCTAAATGGTATAAAAATTACTTTCTGGGGGAAAATCTTCCTTAGAATGTATATCATCAGTATGAAAAACAAAATCTTAAATAGTAGTACATCAAAAGAAAGAGGCTATCTTAATCTCAGTAATCTGGACAATCTGCCCCTGGATACTAAAAGTATGATAATGGAGGATCAAATATTTACACTTTACATTTTGTGTAGGACAAAACCAGTTGCACTGAGATGGATTCCAAGATTATCATAAATTTATTTGCAAGATTCTTGCTACAGACAGAAACGTCTGCAGAGGCTGTTAAAGAAAAGCTGTGTTGCTTGGGATCAAAGGGAAGCATAAGAGGGAAGAAGAGGAACCATCATCCCCAAGCTATCCAGGAAACAAGCACTCTCCAACAGCCTCACTGGCCAGGGAAAGCAGAGCTTTAATATTTTTTCTTCCCTGTTCAAGATAATTGAGAAACTGAAAATGGTTTCATGTGTCTTCAATTATATAAGAAAAGATATTACTTTCTTATCAAAAAATGATAGTAATCAGCTGAGTAGAAGCCAAGTCATGTATTAGAAATGTTCTTATTAAAAAAAAAAAAAACAGTGGGCTGTGGCTCAGTGGTGGAGTGCTCACCTAGCACGTGTGAAGCACTGGGTTCAATCCTCAACACCACATAAAAATAAACAAACAAATAAATAAATAAATAAAGCTATTGTGTCCATCTACAACTAAAAAAAAATATTAAAAAAATAAAACAAACAACTAAAGCACTTATTCTAATAATGCTCACAATTTCTCTATAGAGTCCTAGTAATCAACTTCACCATTCCTGGTAGCTGTTAGGATGTATAACAGAAATTAAAGAGTGTTTCATATGCATTTTTTTGCTTACCAAGATTACATGAAAACCCATTGCATTCAAATGACGAATTTTCACAGCAAAGAATCCTCTGGGGTGGTTTGAATCCAAACAATAAACAGATCTAGGAACACACAGCACAGCTACTCTGAAAACAAAAATAAACAATATGAGAACAGTTATAGAGACCACCATTTACAATCCTGCTGCCTTGATGCTCTTTGGGGGTTTCTAAGTGGAGCTCTTCACTCACCACAGTCCTTAACATTCCCTACAATCTTAGTCCTTCACCTCTTTCCATTACTTGGCATCTGAAGATGCTACAAAATACAAAGATTACTTTGTAAACTAAAACCTTATCATTAACATATAACAAAGTTATCCCTCAGCCATCTTTAAGGATGGCTATTTTTTTGAAGTAGAAACTTTTCAGATATAAAAGCACTCTTTTTTAAGGGTTTCCTGTGTGCTAATCTCTGATCTGAATACAATTATCCAGTAGAAGCTCTGGTGGAGGTTAACACCAATGGTAATGCTCTTCTTGTACATACTTCACATACTCTAAAGAGCAATATTTAAAAACCACAACTTAGAGAACAAACACAAAGAAATCCCTAAGAGAAAGGAAAGACTAAAAAACGTAAAATGTGTAAATGTAACAAAAATGTGCAAGGTGTCACTTAATTTTTTCATTGTTCTTTGCATTTTGGAAATGAGTAATGAATTCATTAGAAGGGGAAAAAAATGGGAGGAAAAAAAAAAGACATTAAGACTATTGTCGGGGCTGGAGATGTGGCTCAAGCGGTAGCGCGCTCGCCTGGCATGCGTGCGGCCCGGGTTCGATCCTCAGCACCACATACCAACAAAGATGTTGTGTCCGCCGAGAACTAAAAAATAAATATTAAAAATTCTCTCTCTCTCTCTCTCTCCTCTCTCACTCTCTCTTTAAAAAAAAAAAAAAAAAGACTATTGTCTTCTCTACCCTGGCTGCTAAAAGAGAAATTTCATATTTTTAAAGAAATGTTTGCTTCTTCTCTTCTCAGTACTTCACGCTGAGAACTATATTATTTTATTATGTAAGAACAATGATATACCTAAAACAAAAAAATGACCTGTGACTAGGATTAGAGAGTATTAATGGTTTGGATATGTGGTGCCTCCCAAAGTTCCTATGTTAATATAGAAATATGCAGATTTAAATGATTAGATTATGATATCTGCAACCTGACCAATCCATTCTAGTTTGAATGAATTGACTGGGTAATCTTTAGGTCGAAGAGGCATGACTAGCAGGGTGGGTCCCTGAGGGAGTGCCCTGCAAAGGTTCATCTTCCATGAAGCCCCTTCCCCTTTCTCTCTCTGCTTCCCATCTGTCATGTCTTGAGCAGATCTCCTCTACCACCACCTTCCACCATGAYGTTCTGCCTCACCTTGGAGATCCAGAATAATGATTTGGCAGACCATGGACCAAATCATTGACATCATGAGCTGAAATAAACGTTTGTTTTTCTAAGTTGTTCTGGTCAGGTATTTTGATCACAGCAATGCTAAACTGACTAACACCAAGAGAAAGCCTTTTTTGAGCAGATGGTAACAAGGGCAGGGAAGACAGCACATGAAAAAATGGTCCAGAAATAGCCAAATGAATTCAGAAAGGGAAAACTTACAGAACTTCATGTGAATGGAAAGGAATGGGTAGATAAGAATTTGAATCCCTGAAGATTTATTTTGCACCTTCCTCTTTAATATTTATGTACCTATCCAATAGAATAACAGGATATTTAAATTCCACAGGGTTGACATTCATATCTGACTCATCTTTGTGTGCCCCACGGGGCCTAACAGAGATTTTCCACAAAGGCTGACTGAATAGGGGTGTGTGTGTTCAATGATCCCATGATCACACACATCTGCTGACCAGGCAAGACATTCCCTCATGATATGGCATCATAATTTTCCCAAAGGTACTCTATTTATAATGTGTGAGTCAAAGGAACAACTATGATTACCTTCGATGGGCTCTGCTTCGTATACAACACAGCTTAATTAAGAAGTTAAGGTTTCTCTACTTTTGAAAAGGTCTTGTGATACAGCAAAATATTTAGTAGGTATTTGATTTTTGCAGAAGCTTCAAGTATCTATGGTCATTATTATTATCTTCTCAGAAGTTTATACTGCAGTGATAGTTTCAATGATTTTAGCTTCAGAACATTTTTTTAAAAATGTCTATTTTGGTAAGTGACCGAACTCCAGTCCACTGTATTCCACAAAATGCAAACAGTTGCACCTAAGCAACAGATTTAAGGCTAAGAAGTCCCATGATACATTGCAGGCTCCATACAAATGTAAGGTCTTGGTATTATACTATTTCACATGAAGTCTTTCGGAATTAAGATTTAAATTCAGAAAGTCCAGCAAATGAGCCAGGTGCAGTAGTGCACACCTGTAATTCCAGCAGCTGAGCCAGGAGGATCATGAGTTCAAAGCCAACCTCAGCAAAAACGAGGGGCTAAGCAACTCAGTAAGACCCTGTCTCTAAATAAAATACAAAATAAGGCTGAAGATGTGACTCAGTAGTGGAGTGCCCCTTAGATMAATCCCTGATACCCTCATTCCCCCCAAAAAAGAAAGTCCAGCAAATGAATATTGGTAAGCAACCTTTGCATATTTGTAGCAGAAGTCACATCAATGTCAGAAAATGAAAGCACTTGGCTCCTGTTAGTATCCATTCTGATTTCAAAATCTGAAAGAAAAAATTTGATATTAATGTTTCAACATTGCTCAAAGTGATTTTCTCTTTGAAAATGTGTCTAACACTAATAATATCATTAATGATAATGATAGCTAAACATATTGAGAGCTAGCCATGTGCCAAACACTAATCCAGAGACTGTAAAATTTCCTTTATTGGCCACAAGAATCTTATGAGATGGGTACTATTATTATTGTGCTTTTGCAGATAAGTAAGACACAGAGCAAGAATCAAAGGCAGGTCCAAAGGCAACACTACACTGCACTGGACATGCTGCAGTAAACTCCCCAACCTCTGAAAGAAAATAAATAAAATTAAATAAAGAAACTTCTCATACCAATATGATAATTATGTGGCAACTGCACATCTTTGGAGAAGTATCCTTCACCACCTAGAAGGCTAGTTAGTGCCTCTGTAATCTCTGCATTTGGGYGTGGTGGTGGTGATGGCTGCTGTGGTAGTGAAATGTCTTTGGCCTTCTGATAAGGAGTGTCATCCAGTTTTAAACAAGTATCAACAATGTGAAGCTTATGAACATTCCTCTCAATGTCACCTAGAAAGAAAGAAAGAAAGAAAGAAAGAAAGAAAGAAAGAAAGAAAGAAAGAAAGAAAGAAAGAAAGAAAGAAAGGAAGGAAGGAAATGCATCATTATGAAAAATATTAATGCCACATTTTAAAAATTACACTGCATCTATATTTGTAATCAGCTTTCTTATTATAAGAACTCTATCAATGTTGCCCTACTTTCCAGGGCCTGGACCAGTGCCCTGTACCTGTCCATGTTTTAGGCCTTAAAATATCTTTAGAAGTGATTTAGTCTAAACTCCTCATTTTATAGAGGCAATATCCAAGAATGTTAAAAGAAGCCTCATGTGTAATTAAAGGCAAAGTTGGGACTAGAATGAAGGTTCCCCTGGCTTTAAGGCTGTTTTTTAAATATACTATTTGAAAAAATCAGCACATGGAATTGACCCTTCACAACTTAATTTTGGGATTTTTATAACATTGTTTTTAAAAGGATTACAACTAACTTACTCTCAGATACATCATCAAGTTTTGTATGTCTATCCAGATATTTATTTTCCTTATTTAAAAGCCAACAATTAATTTGGTTCTAATAAATAAATTTGCTAATTTGATAGCTATTTAGTTATTTATTCTAACAGGCTGTGTCCTCATTACAGGTCACAAGTAACCAAGTGTTTACAGCTATAAGGATTGACTTAAGTGGCTTTAAATGTGACATGTACAGATTAGGAAATGCAAACACCTCTGATCTAGGCATAAAGAACAATTGGAACATTTAGCCTTGTATAAAAGCATACAGTGTAAACAAAAAAGTGTAATGCTGATTGAGCTTGGATCTTTAATGTCCCCAAAGGCCTACATGCTAAAGGACTAGAGGTCATCCTGTGATGCTACTGAAAAGCAGTGGAACCTCTAGGAGGCAGAGTCTAGTGGAAGGAAGTTAGAGCATTGGGGGTTCCCTTGAAGGTCACTGGCACTCTGGCCCCTTCCTCCCTCCCTCTCTCTCCTGCCTGGCTGTCATGAGGTAAGCAGCCTTCTCCATCATGTGTTCCCATCATGATGTACCATGCTGCCACAGGCCAAAGGGACACAGCCCAGCAATCATGGACTGAAAATTCTCAAACAGGACCAAAATAAATGTCTCCTCCTTATAAGTTGATCTTCTCAGGTCTTTTTGCCACGGGATGGAAAGCTGACTAACACAATGATGCCATCCTTTTTCTTCTCTTCTATACACAGCCCCTGTCACTACAGGAGGCTCAGTGGGTTTGCTGGTTTCAGCACTGACCTTTAACTTCACCATTATCAGTCCTTTCCTCAGAAACATCTGTTCTGCACATTTAACTCTGACTGAAACCCCATTTGGAATCACAAGGTAGACAGTGGTAGTGCCTTCTTTCAGTCACTATTTGCAACAACGTCCTACCTGATGTCAGCAGCTCATTGATCACATTCTTTTGGAGAAGCTGGTTAACAGGGGCCAAGGGGAAATAATTAATCACACAAAATGAACATATTGCATTCAGAAGGTTTTCAGAAGAGATGTGATGAAGACAGCCGGTCAGAGCACTAGCCATAATTTCCAGGAACCTTTTGGGGAACAAAGAAAAACCAGATTTCAAATATACATAGAAGACACGGTTATGGAAGACCTAATTAGCTGCTATAGAACCAGCATCCTTTAGAAATCCAAAGTAAAGAGAAAAAAGCGGGCTTGTAAATAAGTTTTTACACACGGTTTGGGACAGGCTGCTCTCTCACAGAGTATGTATCAACTTGCTGTTGCTATTGTCTTGCACAAAAAGTGTTTTACACGCTTTCATTTAATTCCTATTAAAACTCTATGGGCTATTATTACTATTACCCTCATAATAAAGATGAGTAAACAGGCTCAAAGAAGTTGAGGAACTAGCAGTATATGAACAAACAGCCAAGAAGTAGCAAAGACAATGTCAGAACCTAAATTGTCAAGATCCACAGCCTTTTAATCATTATATTATATTTTCTTTAAGGCTGGACCATCACTGCAGATTTGTAATCAATTAAAATTCCCTAGCTATCAAGTTTTCTTTCTTGAGTTTAAAACCCGAGAAAATATTCTGGGTTAAAAGAACTGTAAACTAAGTTTACCACCCAGAGCTAATATTATACAGTATAACAAAGAATTTTAGCATCGACTCAGAGAGGAAAGATCAAACTTCAGTGAGGTTATTTACCCAGAATGATAATACTAATAAATGACACAGATATTCTTTGAGCCCAGGTCAGTCTGACTCTCAGGGAATCTTTTATTTGTATCATTATGTAAGAAAAAAATAAAATACATAGAAAGTATTGTGATAATACAGAGGAAAAAAAGTAGAGTAGCATTTGGGAGAATTTGAACAGGTAAAAAGATGAGAAAAGGGAAGATCAATTGAATGGAGCCCTGAAAATGTATGCTATTTCAGTGTCAGTGAATAACTAGTGAGAAGAAAGCACAGAGTAGGGATTCTTACGATAAGGGCAAATATGCCTAATTAACAATGCAACTGAAGGGCAACTGAGAGATCCCACAGACCCAGCTGATTGGGTCCAGGAGGAAAGGAGGCCTGGTAGGCTAGGAGAGCTATGGGTGTTACAACAAGACAGAGAAATTAAATAGATCTTATAGAAAAAAATGAGATATCAGTATTAAACTGATGGCTGATTTCACTTGGATTGTGCAATCCAAAGACAGGTAGGACAGGGTAGGGCCACAGATGATGAAGTCTGGAGACTGGGTGGCGATTACCTCTGCATCTTGTCTCCCTCTCTCCTCACCTGTACCCTATGCTTTCACAGCCCCAAGCTATGTGCTGCTTCCTCACATGTTCTGCTGTTTCTTTCAGGTCTTGTAAATACAGTGCCTTCTACTCAGCATGTCCTTTCCTGCTTCTCTTCCCCTATGATCTCCTATACATCCGGCTTTTAAGACCAGCTCAGACACCATCTCTTCCTGGCAGCACTGAGTACACATTTCCTGTATGTATCTCTATCACTCTATTTTTCATGCTATATTTAACTGCCAATTTAGATGTCCAATTTATCTATTACACCAAATCCTCTGGTGAGAATGACTGTCTTATTTATCTTTTTGCTTAACTATCCAGGTGCTTGGTAAACATTTAATGGCTAAATGAATAAATAAACTTAGAAGAAGAGACAGAAGGAGGAGCACATTAGTAGACAAGAATGAGTCAATAATTATGAGCTCACTTCCAGAATTATTGAAACTTGAGACACTCCAAGATGTACAGTGAAGACATACAAACCCCAGAGATAGGTTTGGAACTCAGAGTACACTAAAAACCAGAGATGCAAATCTGGGATTATCCATAGGGTGGTAAATGCAGATCAAAAGAGAAGAATCCAAAGGTTCAAAACGACACGGTATAAGTGGTAAATGTTTTCTTTCTTGAGTTTCAAACCCAAGAAAATATTCTGGATCGAATACATCCCTTCCTCCAATAAAATGATTAATGTACACAAAAAGGGCATTCATTACGCTAAGCCAAATTTGGCACCACCGTCTGACCCAATTCCTCTCTTCTAATCAATGTCTTTCCAAATGCTTAGCATTATGCTGCTTCCATAGCTTTGMCACCCCTGTCACTATCTATTCTCTTTCCTTCATAAAGCATTCATTTGGTACCCGGCACCTACTGCCTTCCTCTGGATAAACAAGATGTGTCCTCCTAACTAGACTAAGAAGGGAATACAAACTTCTTTTTTATGTCCTCAGAGTAGAAAACTCAGGCAACTACACATTCATGACTGACTAACCTTGATCTACCAACCACACTTTGGCTGTCCCCTTTCTCCAGAGAAGAAATGTTGAGATGGGAGACTAAGGATGAGATCAATCTCAGCACTATGGACACTTAGCTGGATGGCTCCTTGGTGTAAGAGGCGGTCTATCCTGTGCAGAGCAAGACGTCAGTAGCATCCCTGGCCTCTACCCATTAGAGACCTCCTCCAGTCATGATAACAAAATATCAAAAAATGTCTCCAGCACTGTTCAATATTCCTTTGGAGGCAAAACCACTTCTAGTTAAGAACTACGAGGTTAAATAAAGGCAGAGCAGACAGACAAAAGGGCAATATTTATAATTTGCTTCCTGTACTAATTCTGTTCCTGCTGTTTTATTGAGTTTCATGGCTTTTTTTTAAAACCTCTATTATTCCCCCTCTATTTCCAATATAAAATTTTATTGGACAAAATTATCTTTTGGGATGTCTAGAGTCAGCTAAAAAAACTCCCTAAACGGCCAGTGCTTGTTTTCTAATCCCAAAGAATCTGTGGAACTGTTTCTGGAGTTTTAATTACCACTTAGCTGGATACCGTTCATCTGAAAYGTCTACGGGGTCGCCAGGAGCCAGCCTCATAAGAAAACCGAGCAGGGAAGTAGATGAAGGATGAAGACAACAGGAACCTGGGTCTGACTCTAGAGTGCTTGCCAACTGAGAATCAGAGGCAGATTAATTAACAAACAACTATAACTATGTGGTCAAGGCTCTAAGAGTCTGTATGAGACATGGCAAGCATCCGGCCTCTGAAGGAGACAATTAGGAAAGCACACAAAACATGGTTTGAGTTGAATTTGTCCACTCGCTATAGAGCATGGTGGCCAGTTGCTTTTTAAGTGGCTCAGTATGACTCTGTTGATTATCTGCCCACGTCTGCTAGATATCTGTCCCAAACCTGGCTGGATTTTGTGGGTAAATTTGAATAAGAAAAAAACAACATGATAAAAGACAGTTGTAATCAAGCCAGATGATGGCAAAGGGATGGACTGTGAATACTGCCATGAAGACTTTCAGAACTGCGGTAGTGTCACTCTTGGTCACTCCAAGAGCTGTGACCTAAACTCTACTTTAATTTTTAATCTAAAGATTACTTTGGATATTGGCCAAATTATATTCTTATGTTGTGGACATGTATGAATATGTAACCAATCCCACCATTATGCACAATTATAATGCACCAATTGAAAAATGTGGAAAGAGAAAAAATAAACATTACTTTGTGCCAGAGATTAAGAACCTGGCATGGATTTTCAAAATGACCCAATGCAACTACAAGTAACTCAAGCCCATTTTAATAATGAATAAATCAAAGCACAGATAAATAACTTGTCAAAAGTCAAGTAGTTTCTGAACAGCAGAGCTAGGATTTAAACATAAGAAAGCTATCTATGCTTTTAATCGATCTTCTAACAGATGACATTTTATATACATATCTAGTTTTTAATGACTCCTAACTGTTCCAGAGAGAAAGAAAGATCTAAAGGAAGAAAAGCAAAGGCATAGAACAACTTGTAGAACCTAAGAAATTGTTACATGTTTGTGGTTAAAATAAAAAGAAGACAATGCAGTAGCACAGACCAAATAAACTATAGTGGAGTGAGTCAGCAAGATAGCAGAATAAAAAGGTCCAGCCCTAACTGCCCCACAGAAAAAAATGATTAAAAAAAATATATAGATCAGAAAGCCCTTATGAGGCTTTATGGAAGTCCAGAATCCAGTTAAGACGTTGTAGTATTTCAGATGCACACAAAACCAAGAATAGATGCATGGACACAGATAAGGAGAACAATTTCTTTGCATGCCACCCCTCCTGCCAGTGGGCACAGCTCAGCAGCATAAGAGATTATCTTGGCCTGTAACTACTCCCATGGAGCAAAGAGTGGTGCATGCACTGAATGTGCTGGACTTTTAGCATATGGACCAAGGGACTGGTTTCTGTTTGGTCTCATGTGAGGTACTGATGGAACCAGACAGTTCAGATGCCTAAAGGCAATTAAGAACAAAGGAAAAAGGGTACGTGACTTTCTACACCCAGCACACCTCCACAAGATTGAGAGAAGGTACAGAAGACAGGGCTTCATTCCAGGGAGCAAGGGAGAGGAGTGGAGCATGGCTTCAACCTCACAGCTTTCAGTATGCTGAGGGGTCAGTTTCTATCTTGCCTCGAATCTCCACGCCAATACAACAAGCACAATTCAGAAACCAAGGAGAAATTAAGAAGAAAGGAAAAGGGATTGGTGGTTTGCAACAGGCAACACAACTCTCCAAGATTAGGAAAAGGGCTCATCTCAAAGTTACTCCACAAGAGACAGGAAAGGAATAAGGTATACCTCCAATGTCCTACCTGCTGGTCAGTAGACACTAGAGGAAGGAAGACATCATGGTTTCCTAAAAACAGTGGAACTAATAACTATTTCTAATTAGGAATCTATGAGTACAGAGAAAAGGTTGGTGATGCTCCATATTCTGTATCTGGACTGACTGGTAAGGGTCTTTCCTTGACAAAGCCAGTCTGTAAAGACAGGAAGATGCAGTTGTTTCTTTAAATGTGTAGACATGGGTGCACAGCTATGAAGCAGAAAGATCAGAAACATGGCAACAATCAGAGGAGCACAAAAAATCTCCAGTAATCAACCCCAAAGAAATGGATATTCATTAGCTAACTCACAAAGCATACAAGATAATTGTCTTAGAGAAGTTCAGTAAATTTTAAGAGGACACAGACAAGTAAATAAAATCAGGAAAATGATACATGAACAATA